TTTAAGTAAAAAATTCACATTTTCTTTAGCAAATATGCAAGACTGATATAATCTTAGTAAATCAACAGAAAATTGTACTCTAGCCAAACGTTTATAAAAAGAAATAATATACATGAGCTGATATCCTTCATTGTGAGTAGTTAACGTTTTCTGCAAATATGGTAAAAATGAAGTGAAAAGTTTTTATTTAGATGTCATTACCACCTTTAACCAAATTCATAATTTGGTAGTCACTTTTTATGCTTATTAGAAATTTACATGCAAATTTTGGTGTTGGTTAAAGGTGGTTATGACATGCGTAGAAGTTATCTTACACAGCCACCCTCTTGAGTTTTCCCATTACTCTAATGCTAATACCGACCGATAGTGCCTTTCTTTGTGACCTGATATCATTAAAAATACTATTGTATCATGACCCAACCAATATTTATCATTAAATTGGATCGTAAGTCTAGTGTTTCATGCAATTTTTAAGGGAAAAAATACTACCTGAAAATTTGAAGTCATTGTAGGCCGCAAAACGGCCTTATAGAGAATGATCCTTTGCCACAAAACATCTATGGGGGAAGGGGAACAAAAATTGTGAATTTTATGGTCCCTGCCCCCCTGGGGCCTGAGGGTAGGGACAAAAACCTGTTAAATTAATGAAATCTTTAAAAATCTTCTTCTTTATTCCTGGACATCAAGCAGTCAAAGTGTTTGCATGATTGTAATCAGCATTAAGTCCTCTACCAAAATTGTGAAATTCATGGCCCCAGGGTCAGGGGTTCTAGTGCTAGGGCGGGGCTAAATTTATTACATGTTGAAAATGCATAAACTCTTTGAGAATCTTCTTCTCTGCTCATGGGCATTAAATAAACTAACCAAGTACATAGTTATGTTAAATAAGGTGGCCTCTACCAAAATTGTGAAATTCATGGCCCCTGGGTCAGGCGTTCTAGTGCTAGGGCGGGGCTTTATTGATTATATAGTGAAAATACATTAATTCTTTAAAAATCTTCTTCTCTACTCCTGGGCATTAAATAAAGTAACTAAGTACAAAGTTATGTTGAATAAGACTGTCTCTCCCCAATTTGTGATTTCAGGGCCCCTGAGTCAGAGGTTCTTGTTTTAGGGTGGGGGGGCTCTAATGATTATATAGTGAAATGCATGGATTCTTTGAACATCTTATCCTTTGCTCCTGGTCAATATGCTAATGATCTAATTAAATATTTAAGGCCAGGTTTTATTTTATTTTCAGTTTTACAAACCCTCCGCTCAAGGTTTTGAATATTCAGGAAAAAAAGTTTTCCGATTTCAAATTTGAGTCGGGATCGAGATTTCAAATTTACGAACTCGCACTTCCGGTTTAAGATGAAACGGCGGGTAAATAAAGCTAGATCTGCGAAGATAGCTTGGTTTAGTGGAAAATTCATCGATAAGAGTGCCATTCAAAACGTTTCACCAGTTCAAAGGACAAATAAAATGCTGACGACTTTGTTGCACAATGACATGCTGGTGAGATAATTATGTATTCATTTCAAAAGTTTCTGTAAATTATTTTCCTCCTATTTTCCTCCCACAGGTTCTAAATTGCCTGTGGTAGCTATTGCATATTGCCAGCGACATTGTATAGGTCTCTGTTATATCTTACAGTCTAAGCATCATTCTTCAGAAAAGATTTGCTTATGCATCAGATGTAATGAATAAAACTATGGGAGAAGTTAAGTCCTTTTAACGAGGCCCGATCTAGTTGAAAATTACGAAAACGGAATGATAAAATTTTTTAATTCTTGGAAATATACTTGTATGTTTTATGCTTAGAAAAATTAGGATGAAATTTTGTTACCTTGCCTTTATTGTAGTGAAATGGGGGCACTGTCAAGATATGGACCATTTTTCGCGTTTTTATACACAATTACATACTAAAACTCTTCAAAAAACAAAGAAATTTACAAGTTAAAAAAAATACATGATGAAATTCTTTGTTTTTCACATATATCATGCAATTTTCATTCCTCTTATAAAAAATGAAAAGAAAATTGGCGGTAGCCTTTATTGCAATGAAAAGGGCTCATGTCAAAACACAAAATTTAGATTTATTCTATCCAACTACATATTTTATAGGTCGCAATGGATTTACATAACACCAACAAACGATTGCAATACTGTATTAGTTTCTAAAAAAATAAATAATTCATACATTATGAAATTATTTTCTCGCCATGCACTATTTTTCTCTTCACACGCGACTTTGTTTTACGTGGAAAATAGGGGTAGAAGGGTGTGTGTGTGTGGGGGGGGGGGGGGGGGGGGGGGGTTAAAGGCGACAACATTGCGATTTTTACTAATATTATGTAATATATAGAAAAATTAAATATCTTGGGGGTTCAATTTAAATGATTTATAAACTTATTTTGTTTTTTAAAACTGAAGATAATGCATGCATATTTAAGTCCGCAATAAAAAGAGTGTGTATAAACTCTTCAACATGTTCAAAGAGAAAGACTAAAATCGTTTACTTTTAGTTGCAGCGTTTGTTTTTTTAAACTCACAAATTGAAATAAAACAGGATAAAATCAATAAATCTGTACCAAAAATTTGATCCCTCAAAATTATTTAGGTCCCAAAGTTGTTAATTAATCTAAATATTTAAAAAAAAAATAGAAATGCCAGCTTTCAATGCATATTCGATAGAGCTACCAGGTAAGCAAGATCAGCAAAATAGTTTAGCGCAATTTGACGTCATTTTAATTGTGACGTTATTATGTTCAATTGTGACGGCAGTCAAGGGTATTGTGACGTGCCTGAGTCGACGCTGCGTTAAAACGTATGCGCAGATCAAGTAGATCGGGCCTCATTAAGGAAGAAATAATCAATAACTTGAAGAAATAAAAAAAAATTTAACTTGTAAAAAGCAAGAATATACAAATATATACAGGCATGTAGTATCATTTGTTTTAGCCAGAAAAATTATTTTACACTTAATTGAAAAAAATGTTCACCCAACTCCGCAATACCCACTGTCTGTTTTATGATAGGAATTATAATTTAGGTATCAAGTATATTTTAGAACAATGTCTACACATTCACCTAACACATATAAAAAATTCATTAATTAATTCATTAATTTAAACACATGTAAAATATTCCATACTTTTATATCAACTATCAAATTATCTTTACCATAATTGTTTACCGTTCATTGTGGCATAAGCGCGTGATTTTACTTATCTACAGTCAATAACAGATAAAACAAATATGTTTATAAACATTCAGTACAAGAGATAATACATATTTCGTATACCAGTTTTGTATCATGCAAAAAAAGCACTGACGAAACTACAAATAGCCCAACATTTTCACATAAAATGCTGAGCATTTCTGTCCTTTTTGTGCTCTCAAGATGTTCGTTAATATTATACATTTATTGACTGAGTTCGAGGGCAACATGCGTTTAGTCGGACCCAAGAAACAAACTGTCTGCCTGAGGCCGTTAGGCCGAAGGCAGACAGTTTGGTTCAAGGGTCCGACAAAACGCATTTTGCCCGAGAACTCTGTCAATAGATGTTTTGTTATACCTTTCATTTTTTTGTATTCTGTTATGTAACATAATGTCTGTCACTATTTAACACCAACGAAAGAAAATGAGATTAAGCTCCGCCCATTCTGTGATGTAAGCGGTTCAATATCTCTGCGAACGGTCCAACATCGATTTTGTAATGCCCGCTCAGCAAAACATTTAAAAATGTTAGACTTTTTTCGTAAAGATTTGTAAAGGAACAAATTTTTAAAGGTATAACAATGTCATATATTTTTTTTGGCTGCTTTATTGCTAAAAATGTAATGTTTTATATCTAAATACAAACTTGTGAATTTGTCAGACTAAAATTCATCTCATTAGTTAAGCAAATCTTTGAAACTTTCGAAAATATTTCAGCATGGAACGATTTTTTTTAAAAGAAATCTCTTATCATTAAGAAATTACATATATGACAAAAGAATATCTGAATAGCTGAGAAAGAACACTAATGGAATATCCTCCAAATCATAGAGAAGAATTTATGATAGCAACAATTGTCAGTTGTCGTTAGTACATGCTCTACAATTTCATGAAAGTGGCAAGCTATTGAAAATAAGTTGATGAAATGATGACATCAACAGTATTGATGAAGTCAACATTTCCTTAGTATGATGCCTGCTATTGTAGTATTATGAAGTAATTAGTCAAAGTTCAAGTAATACAAATAAAACTGTGAAATTACTAATGTAATATATTCTTAGCATCGTTTTATATACATATACAGTCCATTCGTAAGTCGATACGATATATCATGGTGAGCTTGAAATAAAAGATACCACAGAGTCCCACACTTCTGCTTCATATTTGGATATTTTACTCGTTTGCAAAAGACGCTAATGGTAATATAACAACGAAGCTTTATGATAAACTTGATGACTTTAACTTTTCTATCGTCAACTTCCCTTACTTATGCCACAATATACCTTCATCACCTGCATACGGAGTATATATATATCAGTTGAGTCGATACGCAAGAGAATGCTCTACGTATGAACAATTTCTTAAACGAGGTAAATTATTGACAAGCAAGTTGATGAAACAAGAATATCAGCAGTCTCGTTTAAATGCATCATTTCGTAAGTTCTATGGTGGATACAATAACCTTGTCAGCAAAGACAATTTATCATTCCAATAGTTAGTCCATTATTTATACACTGAATTGACGACAGATTTTTTCCTGATCCTGACAACGAGCACACGGCGGGTGTGACCGGTCGGCAGGAGATGCTCACTCCTCCATGGCACCTGATCCCACCTCTGATATTTCGGAGGTCCGTGTTTGCTCTGCTCTTTTTTTGTATACTGTTTAATGGACATTGAGATTAAATACCGTTTGTTAGCTCCATATCCTTCTTCATGCAATAATATTCCTTTTCTTTATATAGAAAACATAACGAGGAGTTTGTGATTTTAGAACATTTCATCATATAAGAATACGATGTCGTTATCGAAGTACACATCGACACCAGAGACGACAAACACCGCTCAGCTGGCGAGGCTCATACTGGGACCATGTACTGATGTATTACGTGAAATTCTTAAAAAGGAAATTCCACCGTATGATTTATCCAAGAAAGTCAAAGAATGGACTGATGATTTCAAGAAAAACAAAAAACGCAACCCTCTTAATCCATCACAAAATGACATCATTTTCCCCTCACTAACAAATCAGTATTGGGGAGACTATTCAGACCTTGATATATCTATCGTGTACATCATTCTTCGGAATGTCAGTAAAATACCTCCACATTCTAAAGGTTGGGGCGAGAATCCAGACCCCGCTAATAGAAGTGTCGCCGCAAATATCGAACGGATTCGTCTTCTTAGGAACAAATACGAAGGCCATTCTGCCGATATATTTCTTTCTGACTCAGAGTTTAGTCAGGAATGGCGGAACATCCGGGATATCGTTGTTGAATTAGAGCGCTATCTAGGGATGTCTACTGTCTACCAGGAGTCTGTGAAAGAAATAAAAACATGTTCCATGGATCCTGAACATGAGCATAAATACATAAACCGACTTGGGGTTCTTGAAGATCTACATTCATCTGTGTCTAAATTTTCAGGTACATATACTTTCAAATAGAGGCTCATTTTACTTAAATACTGGTTATTTTGAATTATTTTATACTCTCTTCAAAGAATATGGAACAGAAAGCAGCGACAGATTTTTTTGGGCTGTGTAATATTGTGAAAAGGTAGATCTACTGCTTATGTTTCAACTGGAAGGATTGGATATTTTGTTATGGAAATCTATTGAAAAAAAATATGTGCGATAAAATTCCTTACATTATCCAAGCAGAGTTCAGTTTTCATACCTTTATCGTTTGTTTTTTGAAAAAAAAACCAGCTTTCCTTTTATATTCTCCTTTTCCTATTTACATTTATTTTAAACTCTCAAATGTTCATAATCAATTTTAAATTATACTATTTTGAGTGTATTAAAATAAATATATATTTTCAGAGAAGCTGAGTGACATGGAAAAGAAACTAAGTTTGCACATCAGTAAGTGATGAACGTGTTGATTATTTTATCTCGGAACATCTCAATGCATATTTTTCAGTGATTAATATGTCTTATATTGCCTTGATTCTTTTTTTCAGATCCCAAACTTGAAAAAGAAGTAGGTATGAATATGTTCACATTGTCCTCAGTTAAAGATTTTTCAACACGTATGTACGTTTATGATATCCAATGGCTGGGTTTTATTTTAATAACCAGAACGAATAACTGACGGAGATTTTTCCCCACTCAAACTGTGACTCCAATGCCATTATATATAACAAGAGGCCCAGGGGCCACAACGCTCACCTGAGCACATCGGGCTGGAATTTACCCCCCCCCCCCACACACACTCCAGGCATTCATCATTTGAACAAACTAGAATCTACACTACCTGAGGATGATTCCATATAAATATCACTAATCATAGCTTTGAAGTACTTGAAAAGAAGATTTAAAAAGGTTTCCCTATATATCCCTATGTCAATCGTGGGTCGGCCATTTTGGCCCCACCCTAGCCCCGGGGATCATGATTTGAACAAACTTGAATCTGCACTACCTGAGGATGATTCCACATGAGTTTCATCTTTCCTTGCCCAGTGGTTCTGGAGAAGATGTTTAAAGATTTTTCCTATATATATTCCTATGTCAAACGTCGGTCGGCCATTTTGGCCCCATCCTTGCCCCGGGGGTCATGATTTGAACAAACCTGAATCTACACTACCTGAGGATGATTCCACATGAGTTTCATCTTTCCTGTCCTAGTGGTTCTTGAGAAGAAGATTTTTCTTATATATTCCTATGTAAAACTTGGGTCGGTCATCTTGGCCCCACCCTTGCCCCGGGGGTCATGATTTGTACAAACCTGAATCTACGCTACCTGAGGATGATTCCACATGAGTTTCATCTTTCCTGGCCCAGTGGTTCTGGAGAAGAAGATTTTTAAAGATTTTTCCTATATATTCCTATGTAAAACTTGGGTCGGCCATTTTGGCCCCACCCTTGCCCCGGGGGTCATAATTTGAACAAACTTGAATCTACACTACCTGAGGATGATTCCACATGAGTTTCATCTTTCCTGGCCCAGTGGTTCTGGAGAAGAAGATTTTTAAAGATTTTTCCTATATATTCCTATGTTAAATTTGGGTCGGCCAGTTTGGCCCCACCCTTGCCCCGGGGGTCATGATTTGAATAAACATGAATCTACACTACCTGAGGATGCTTCCACATGAGTTTCATATTTCCTGGCCCAGCGGTTCTGGAGAAGAAGATTTTTAAAAATGCCATTAATTTTTAACAAATTCATGATTACCTCCCCTTGGAAAAGGGCGTGGCCCTTCATTTGAACAAACTTGAATCCCCTTTACCCAAGGATACTTTGTGCCAAGTTTGGTTGAAATTGGCCCAGTGGTTCTTAAGAAGAAGATGAAAACGTGAAAAGTTCACGACGACAACGACAACAACGACAACAACGACAGACGACGGACAAATTTTGATCAGAAAAGCTCACTTCAGCCTTCGGCTCAGGTGAGCTAAAAAGGGTTGATAAATATATATATATATACGGCATCAAACTCTGTTTTCTATCAACGAAATCTAACAGTTATTAAATGAATTTACATATACGAGTATTTATTTTAATTAAGGGATGAATTTAATAGCTACCCATTTTATACGGTATAAACTGGGTTTGGGCAGATATGCTATCGCGGTTTATAAAAAAGCGTAAACTGTTTCAACCCAGTTAATATCGTATAGAATGGGTAGCTTTTAAATTTTAACTTCATTGCTTATAATTTTAATTTTCATTCATTTAATGTAAGAAAAAAAATGACCAATTTGTAAAAAAAAATTTGCGGATTGGTACGTTTTTGCGCGTCATTGTGACGTAGGCAACCCTTTTTATACGATATGAATTTTTATCCAATCAAATACAGCGTGACAACCAGGATTAAATTATTGTATTGAAAAGGCATCTTGAAGAAAACGAAACAGTGACCTAAACAATTGTTAAAGTAGGATAAATAGGAGATGGTCACATGCAGAATATGAGGTAACCATAAAACTTCAATTAAAATAAATTTTAGAGATGTAGACTATCAAATACAAGTTTCTGTTGTTTGCTTAGGGAAAATGTAGAAAATACATAGAGACCGGTGAAGTCTTTATTATACATATTTGAAACTTCATAGAAATCAACAGCATTTAAGTACATTGATAAGATATTGTCTATTCTCTCTCAAATATAAGAAAGAATGAATAGGAAAAAAAAGGAGAACGGTAATTACCTGTATAATGTTTCAAAAATCTGGAAAATCGTTTTTTAAAAATACAATTTGCAATAACAACACTTAAAAAGCCATTATTTGGGGGAGCCAAAATTAAAATAAATCTGACCTTTTCTGATAGAAATACATGTAGGATATAGGTTAAAGTAAGCATGATGTAAACATACTGAAATAAATTTTTACGGCTAAGATTAAAAAAATAAATAATTAATAAAAAATGCTATGTTTACATCTTCAACACATTAGTCATCTAGGCTTGAAAGGGTCATGCTATTCCTACTTAATATATTTCTGTATTGTCCAAGATATTTTAAAATATTAAAAAGTAAATAAAATTTAATCTTAATACAACTATAGCTACTGAAACTTTTATTTACACGCGATTATCATAATGGCATTTTTATTTTTCCTTGGGCTAAATGACAGAAATAAAGCCACAAGTACAGCAAAAATTTTACACAACAATATTTTAACGCAAATGCCAAATACATTTTACTCTGAAAATACAAAAAGTAGAACTGTTCGGTAGCGATATACTAATAATTTTTGTCTTGAATTTTTACAAGAAAAATATCATAATCAGGTTTATTTAAACTCATGATAGAAACAACAATGGTTATGGTCAACGATCATCATAAGGAAACGGAGAAAATCCTTGTTAAAACCCGGGCATTTAACAGAGCAAAAAAACTTTTAGAGGAAAACAGATACGTGGTAATTAAAGGTGTTCCTGGATTCGGGAAGACGACATTAGCCAAATGCTTGTTGAAGATTTGCATGGATGGAGGAAATCGTCCTCTTCAAATCTTTAAAATGTCCAAACTCTACGGACGGGTGTCGCCGTTTGACAACATGGCAGTACTTATTGATAATGCATTCGGGGAATCGTCGTTTTCTATAACTTGAACGATTTTTTAAATAAGAAAAACGTTATAGAATGTCTTGTGAAGCCAAACAATAGTGGAATGGGAAATATCCTTATTTTAACAGTCAGAAACGATATTTATATGGAAATTGCCGCTAAACAAAAAGTGCCGTCTCATCTGAGATCTATTTATCAATTGGTGAATATGCCTTAGAATCTGAAGAATTTACTATGTTTCTCAACAAATATAATCTTCTTCGAGATATAAAAGAAGATATGAACTTTAAACAGTCCGAGCATTTTTTACCTTTGGGATTTCCACAATGTTGTAGACTAGCACATGAGAATCCTGACCTCGGAAGTGATCTTCCAAAATTTGTCCGTAGTCCCTCTCTTTTCCTAAAAAAGTATATGGAAACCCTGATAACAGAAAAAGCTGTTAAAACGGCAGTGTTGATATACCTTCTGTTGAAAGGTGGAAATGTGCATTCCTCGCTGTTCTCTGATCAGAAAGACCGGATTATGAAATCCATTGCATTAAAAATGCTTGAATTAAGTCCCCTTTTAATAGGTGAATTCCACGAAAGTTTTCATATTTTTGAAGGTTTTTTTTAAAAATGTACGATAAAATTAACGATTCGTATTCCTTTTCCCATAGCTCCGTACAAGATATTTTATTCCATATTCTTATTGTCACTCTTCCTGAGGAAACAATTCTAAACTGTCACCATACCTTGCTTCAAAGATTGACAACAGCTGAGCATCAAAAATGCAGAAACATTTTGGCTGATGCAGAATTGTTTGCAATTGTTTCTAGTAGAATAAATCAAAGTTTGAGAGATGGATCACCTGATGAATATGAATCCATTTCTTTGTTAGAGTTATGGAAAGACGATGCATTTTTTGAATATGTCTTAAAAGATCAGGTCTGTAGTGACCGCTTTCAGGAAAGGTTGGATTCAAATGGTAACTCTATGCTAGTGCATTTTGCAAAATCAGGACAAATTGGTTGGGTGCAACACTTGTTACAACATAGCTGTGATAAAATTCAGAAATATAGATCCCTAAATGCCGCGAGTAGAAAAAATCATGTACAAATCGCCAATCGTATTTTAAGGGAAGATATATATTGTGATTTAAATGCTTGTTTCCACGCAGTACGAAGTGGTAATTTAGATTTGGTATTGAAAATCTGTAAGTCTGTAGATTTGAATCAAACTTGTTTATCAATTGTAAGGGCTAATACTTATCACAGTTTAATCCAAGAGGCTTGTGTCTCGGGACAAACTCATTTAGTACAGCTTTTGATTGAAAAATATCCTATTTTGAAAGATATTAGATCTAGAAATGGCGACACTGTGTTGCATTATGCATCTGAAATTGGGGATATCAGTATAAGCAGCTACCTAGTAGATAATTATCCACGATTAATTGACATGAAAAACAACGCTTGGTTCACAGCATTACACTCTGCATGTGTTAGTGGAGAAAAAAAAACTGATATCATTTCTGATTGAAAAAGGTTTGGATATTAATGCACTGACATATGATGGTTTAACTGTCCTTCATATTGCATGTTTATGTGGTAGGTATGATGCATGTGAGTTCTTTGTCGATAATTATCCACATTTAATTGACGTCAAAGACAATAAAGGAAACACAGTATTACACTCTGCATGTGCTAGTGTAAACAAACAATTGATTGCTTATCTAATAGGAGGAAAAGGATTGGATATTGATGCACTGACAATTAACGGAGAAAAATATCTTTCATATTGCATGTCGTGTGGGTAGATATGATGTATGTGAATTCCTTTTCTCAAATTTTCCACATGAAATTGATGTCAAAAACAATGAAGGGTTTACAGCTTTACACTTTGCATGTGTAAATGGGGACAGAAAAGTGATCTCCGTTCTCATTAAGAAAGGATCGGATATTAATGCACTGACAAATGAGGTAATTGGTGTCCTTCATATTGCATGTCTATTTGGTAATTATAATGCATGTGAATTCATTGTCACTTATTATCCACAATTAATTGATATAAAAAACAATCAAGGATACACAGCTTTACACTGTGCATGTGCAAATGGAGACAGAAAATTGATTTCTTTCCTGATAGAAAAAGGTTTGGATATTGATGCACTGACAAATGATGGAGAAAGTGTTCTCCAATCTGCATGTTTAAATGGTAAGTATGATGCATGTAGATTCTTCGTCACTAATTTTCCAAAATTAATTGATATCAAAGACAATAAGGGGTACACAGTATTACACTCTGCATGTGTTAAAGGAGACAAAAAATTAATTTCGTTCCTCTTAGAAAAAGGTTTGGATATTGATGCACTGACAAATGATGGAGAAAGCGTTCTTCATATTGCATGTCGCACAGGTAAATTTGATTCATGTGAATTCCTTGCCACTAATTATCCGCATTAAATTGAAGTCAAAGACAATAAAGGTCAAACAGTATTTCAATCTGCACGTTTAAATGAAGACAGGCAGGTGTTTTATTATATTTTTGGAGAAATGATCGGAGATGAATGCATATGATCGAGAAAGTATTTGACATAATGCATGTTACGCTGTAATGGACAATATGTATATTTTGTTTTGAATTCCAGTTTGAAGGATTCAGATGACTGTGCAGTAGCGTTTGTTGTATTATAACTGAAAGTGCCAGACATGCATCACAGTAATTATCTATTGATTGTGTGTTGCATGTTGCAGGCTGTATATACAAGTGTTTTTAGAAAAGTTCGCGGATACATTGATTTACGGGAAATCTATTGTGTGCTGTGAAGTATATATCATTGTTACGGGTCTGTCGAGTCGTTTGTATGATAATCTTGCACAAGATTTCAAAAATAAATGTATATGTATGTTGATTCTTGATACAGAGTAGTACATACGTTTTTTTTTTTGTGATGATGAATTGTGTTTTACCCACCTCTTCCTATTCTTATTTTGATCTATAAATAAGAAATGTATGTAATATAAAGTAATATTTGTCGCAATAAAAATGTTTTGATCGTGCACGTTTTCTGTTTTTTTTTAATTAATTTTATTTTTTAAAAAATCCACCTTTTTTTAATTTGATTTTTAAAATACTATCAAATACACCGACTTAATTACTTTAGAGTCTCTTTTTTGTCTGCGATAGCAAAACGTGTAATGAATGTAGCAATGCCAAAAATTCATATCTAATATTTAAAATATCTAAAACTAATTCCGCTGTAGTGTTCGACTTCCTCCATCAATCATTTGCAAGTTGAACATGTCATTACTGGTGACTTTGTTAGTTTAAAATGGCATTCAAAAGCCATACATTCAAAAACCCCAGTATCTATAATGAATTCTGTTTAAGATTGTGTCAGACGTTAAGCAAATTATGAAAAGGAAGACCTGAAAACATTGTTTGATTGGATTGAATGTTTATCTTTTGAAATGATGGAGTGGAGAAAACGAATAGTGACCAGTCTAAAAACATCCAAGAATATATTGAAAACACTAGACCCATGAGGTCATGAAATGAAATTCACAATTTTGGTATAGGACTCAAGGCTTACTACAATCATGCAAACAGTTTGAGTACTTATTGTCCAGGAGTAAAAGAAATTTTTAAAAATTGCATCAATTTTGGTGGTTTTGTCTCTATGGGACAGGGACCATGAAACTCAGTTTTGTTCCTCTTTTCTACAGATATTTTATGCCAAAATTGGTTGAGTGGTTGCTGAGAAGCTGAAAATTTTCAAATGTTAACATGACGAACGACGCACGACAACGAAGGAAAAAGGATAGCAATAGGTCACCTAAGTTCTCTCAGCTGATCAAATAAAAATTAACGAAATAAATAGTCATGAAGAGAGAAAATTAAAAAAAATTGAAAATAGGCATTGAATTCTTATTTATCTAGCTACGAAGTGTGTCATAGGACTGACAATAACCAAAAATGAGAATTTTTTAAACAAGATGAAAAGGAACATCAACAAAACAGCTTCAACACAAAAGCATGTCTTATTTTGTTTTACAAGTACATTGCATGATTGGAAGCAAGGATATATGATACTACTGAATACACTGTCTGCAGTACAATTGTTTACTTGCTATTCAAAAAAGTTTTTAGTTGAAACAGGAAAATATCATAGTCCTGTATAAGTTTCCTCATTTTTTTAAGGACAGATGATACAAACAATTAATGGATGCCTGCATTGGTATAAATTTTTTGACCTAATTTTATTGCAAATGTTGCAAATAATATTTTTCTCGAATATAAAAAAATTATAAACCTTCTGTGATGGTCAACATTTTACCCCTCTGAAACCATCCTTATTATTCGATACAAATGTATTTCACTTCAAATTCGATTTTCGTGTAACTCTGAATTAAAAACATCAAAAACTACGCTGTGAAACTAATTCATTTTATTTATGAATACAAGGCCCAAGTTGTTATTTTCAGAAATTCTGACAAAGGTTTGTATCATATGTCCATAAATGAAAAAGTGCAAAGGGATTTGAACAACAGTTTTATGATTTTTTTAACATTCTTCTGAATATTAAACACTATTTATTTAAAAGCAGATAGGGTATGTCTTTGCTCAGATGCAATTATGTTAATGTGTTAAATTACCTTTAGTGTTCTTTGACGTCAAATTGTGTACGAGTTTTAACATGTGGGTAGTACGTATACGAATAAAAATTTATACTGCCTCCGTATAAAATATATACGTCTCATGACACCTGTAAAATTTTTGTTGCCCTCATCCATCCAGCTGGCCTAAAATGGGCCGATTTAAAACTTTTTCTCTTTTTCCCCCTTAATTTTATCAACAAATATATTGAATTGTTCCACATAACAACCAGTGTTCTTACTCTTGAGTTCGAATAGCAGAGGGTAAAACATTTTTTTTTAAAAAGATAACCTTATACTTTTTTATTCAGGCACAATACATTTTTTATTATGCTTTATCAAGGATATTGTAATAAATATGATATAAATTCACACACCCCCAAAATGGAATTTTTAGAAAAAAATGCTGATTTTCTTTAGGTATAAGACTTGCTTTACTTTTTCAAATAACATCTAAGCTTTCTTATTCGCCTAAGAGACTGTAATTTCTCCAGTTGAAATTTATGACAGTGACAGGGCAATGAATTACAACAATACGAGGGTTGTCCGTAAAGTTCGTGGACAAGCTCAAATTTCAAGAAAGATGGTGTCATTGATATTTATTATTAACATATTTATAATCCTTTACTAAATATCAATTACAAAATGTAAAATCATATTCAATTTCAAATAAATAATTATAGTAATGGCTTCTTTATTAGACTTGGGATGGTGACCCGGAGCACCACAAAATTTTAATTAAAAAGTTATTTATCACTTTATAAATTTCATTTGTATTTTGTAAAATTCTGCGGAAATTCGGATTGCTTTGACATTCTGAGGTTGACAAAAGTTATAACTACAAATCTGCAAAATTTGAACGTTCAGAGTTCAGAAATGGCTGAGAAATAGAGGTTAGAATCTATTAGGACAGGATCGGCTTTATTCGAAAAAGTGACATTTTTGAAATAGGCGGAGCAGTGAGCAGTAATAAAATTCTGCGTGGACGTCGGGAAAACACCAACAGAGACCCTGAAAAGCTGTAAACAGTCGGGAAAATATAGTATAGAAAGCCGTTCTTAAGTATTTAGTTGAAAATAAAATTTTCAGACGGAAGGAACAGTTTACAGGATGACATGGTTGAAGGAAGACCATCATTCCGAGATTGCAGTGCAGTAATAAGTTAATTTCGTAACGTGATTTTGCCGTATTTCCTTAAATAAAGTCGGTTTTACGCGGACAGGGGTAGGATGCTTTCAGGTAATGAGACAGGCATTGTTAAATATTATTTTACGTACGAAAACTGAACATTTTGTGCACATTTTTATGAATGGTTAAAGCAACATAAGAAATGTATTGAGTTGAATGGAGACTATGTTGAAAAAAGTTACATGTACTCGTATTAAGCTTTTGACGTCAGGTAACGTCAAGGATTTACGTTTTAGTGCTCCGGGTATGAGAGTGTGTCTTTTTTGTATCTGATAAAAATATGACTATTTGTACTTTGTTTTTGTTGAAAACTTGCATTTTAAGAAAATAAAACATGAATTTAGTGAAAATAATAGTTTCATATATTTTATCAATGTTTGTCAGTAATTATCAATGTTGTCCACGAACTTTACGGACAACCCTCGTAAGTCTTGTAATTTTATGAATAAATTGAATTATTCAAATGGTTATATTATTCACACACAGTTTTATCTTTTAATATCGTTCAACACAAAATAAACAAAAACAGAAAGATTTTTAATTTATTTCAAATTTTCAGTGGATCTTTCTCATTTCAATTATCTTAATGTGACTAATAACCAAGTGTTTTTCACTTTCACCCTCGGGAAAAAATGCGTAGTTCGTCCTGACATAAATATAATCAACTACATGAAAAAAGCCAGCAGCATCTACAGAAAAAAGTCAAATAGGCAATACATTTGAGCTGAAATGTTTTTCCCAAATTTTTTCGAAGCATTTTTACGACACCATAACGGAAGAAAATTTGATACAGTTAATGTTTAAATAAACATAAGATTAAATGAGGATGGTTGCTGACTAAATAATGAAATACATCTTTCTTTCCATTGTAATATGCCAGATGTAAGACACATTGCCCAGAATTTGTTAGAGCGTTCACATTCATCCCTTTGCTAAGAAGATAACAGACCATCCCTACTTTTCCTCCAATGCAGGCGTCGTGCAAGGCCGTATGACCATAATTATCTTTAACATCTTTTAAATAAGAATAATTCTCAACCAGGTACTCACACATCTCCTGCTTACCCTGAAGACAACATACATGTAAAACCGTTTTCCCATCTATATCAGGGTTGAATTCTACTCCTTTTCGTATCAGAAATTTAAGGATATCCACATTGCCTCCTAAAGCCGTGCTATGCAAAGTTGTAAAACCATTAAGGTGTGGAATATGTAGTAACTCTTTATATTTGTTAACTAAATGTTTGCACATATTATATCTACCATTTGAACATGCGATGTCAAGAACAGAATAACCCCATTTGTCTAACTCGTTTATATCCATACCTTTATCTAGAAGAATCGAAAAAATTGGCACATCACCACTAGCACAAGCTTCGTGCAATGCGGTATAACCATCAATGTCATAGATTTTCATTAAATGGGGAAAATTATGGATAAGATATTTGCACATATCTTTTCTACCAAATTGACAGGCTAAATGTAGAATGGTCTTGCCGTTTTTCTCTAGTGAGTTGATTGATATTCGTCCTTTCGTTATCAAACTCTTTAAAATATTGACATGTCCTCTTGACGCTGCGTCGTGCATTACTGAGTTTCCACCATTGTCTTTTACATTAAGTAAATGGGGATGATTCTCAAGTAAAAACATGCAAACACAATAATTGCTATTGAAACATGCAGAATGTAGGACAGTCTCACCAGTATTCGTCAATGCATTGATATCAAAACCTCTGTCAAGTAAAAACGACACAGTGTCCACATCTCCACCCTCACACGCATCATGAAGGGCTGTGTGACCATCTTCATCCCTAGTATCCTTGAGCTCAGGATAATGTTCAAGAATATATTTGCACATTTCTTTTCTACTATTCATGCTTGAAAGATGCAATACAGTTTTACCATTTAGACCTGTAGACATTATATCCACTCCTTTCTCTTTCAGAAGTTTTACGACATTTATATTACCACTTGACGCTGCTAAATGCAAAGCTGTATAGCCATAAATATCCTTATGATTAAGTAAGTGTGAGTGGTTGCAGATAAGATACTCACATATGGAGTATTTACCACTTTCACATGCAATATGAAGTAGTGTTTCTCTCCTGTCTGTCAAAACATTGATATCTAAACCTTTCTCAAGAAGAAAAGTAAAAATATTCACATCTCCACCCCAACATGCATCATGTAACGCGGTTTGACCCTCATTATCCTTGATGTCTTTCAAATGGGCAAAATTTTCGGAAAGAAAATAACACATTTCTGACCGAGCAAAACTGCAGCTTATCCCTAGAACTGTTCTTCCACTTTTTACGACGGAATTTATATCCATGCCTTTTCGTAATAAAAGTTTCAAAATGTCAACGTTACCTCCAGCGGCTGAGCTGTGCAAACATTTGTAACCATCTTTGTTAATAATATTCAGTAAGTGTGGGAAGTTGTTAACTAAATACTCACATACATGATATTTAGCTCCGATGCATGAAGCATGAAGGACTGAATTACCAATGGTCGTTAAGGCATTGATATCCATACCTTTTCTAAGAAGGAATGACAAAATACCAACATTTCCACCCAGACATGCATCATGTAAGGCTGTGTTACCAGCATTGTCCTTGACCTCCATCAACTGGGGGTAACGTTGGACCAAATACTCACATATCTGTCCTCTACAGTATAAACAACTTATATGTAAAACCGTTTTCCCTCCTAGGACATTGATATTTTTAAATTTCTTCAAAGACTGAGACATTTCTCTATTTTTTGGATAGGTGTGTTCATTCAAAGTTTTAATGTTTGTCACGGCTTTGATGTCAATGCCTTTAGTGACCAGAAAATCCACCACATCAACCCTTCCACCAATACAAGCATCGTGTAAAACTGTATAGCCATTGATATCTTTAATATCGAGTAAAGTTGGGAAATTCTCGACCAGATATTCGCACATTTCTTTTCTTCCCTTAGAACAGCAGATATGAAGAACTGTCTTTCCGTCGTGGTCTACACAGTTGATGTCTAAACCTTTAGTTATCAAAAGCTTGAAAATATCTACGCTTCCTCCAAAGCTTGCATCATTCAAAACTGTGTGTCCTCTTTTATCAATAATATGTAGAAATTTTGTATAGTTCTCAGCTAAATACCTGCTTACATCATAATTAGCACTATAACATGCAATATGAAGGGAACATTTCCCACAATTGGTTAATGCATCGATATCCAAACCTTTATCGGAAAGGAAAGTTAAATGCCCGACATTTCCACCCTCATATGCACAATGCAAGGCCGTCCATCCCGCATTGTTTCTCTTGTTTATGAAGTCGGGAAAGTTGTTAACTAAGAACCTACACACGTCTTCTTTATCTGTGTATAAAGAGGAATGCAATACATTATTCCCGTTTTTTGCTGTGCTTTCCATATCCAATCCTTTTTTCATTAGGAATTGAAACAAATCAACATTACCCCCTGCTGCTGCTTTGTATAGCACGTCTTCTCCGTAATTGTCTTTCTCAGAAAGCAGCTGGGGATATTTAAATATTAAAAATTTACTGATTTGAAGATGGCCAGCAGAACATGCGTATTGTAATACGTTTAGGCCATCTTCATCTCGATCGCTTATATTTGGTTTTTTAAGTGTGGTCGAGAGATTTTCGTACTGTTCCGTAAGAAATTCAAAAAGATCAACATTTCCAGATAAGGCCGCCAGATGTAAAATTGTGGTTCCACGGTAATAACTATGGTAGTGCAATAAACTTGGGTATTGTTTTACCAAGAATTTTACCATGGATAGTTTTCCATGTTTAACAGCGCATGTCAGAACAGTTTCCATTTTATAATTTCTATTTAAAGGATTTAAACCGGCTTCTAATAGAAGATTGAAGACAATGATATTTCCAGATTGTGCAGCAGAATGCATTGCTGTTTCACCGAAATTGTTTTTTTATGTCCTTAAGTTTTGGATAACGACTCAACAAAGGTTCCACAAATCGTAATTGCCCCATTGAACAAACCTCGTGAAGTAAACTGTTGTTGGTGTTGGAACAATTTGGATGAAGAGAGAAAGAAGTTTGAAGTGCGTCTACTGATTCGCATAATTCCATGAATAGGTCCACATTTCCACCATGTATTGCGTGAAAGCAAGTTGTTAGATCAGATTTCACTCTGCTAGATAAAATAATCCTAACAGCGCTTTGTTGATTTTCTGCAGATGCAGCATTTAGCGAGCGATACTTTTGTGATTCATCTGAGATCTGCAGCAGTTTACGAACCCAATCTATATTCCCTGCCTTTGCGAAATGTACTATCATTCCATTTCCTTTGGAATCGACCTGTTTTATAATATATTCAATACATAACTCATTTTTGAGAACATGATTGTAAAAGTCTGAATCATTCCAAAGCTCCAAAACAGATACCGAACGGAATCCTGAGTCTGAACCTTTCTTCAAAATTTGTTCGATCCGACTGGCGACAATTTCAAACATTTCCTTCTCTACGACATTCTGTGTACTTTTTGGATTTATATTTGTGGTTAAACTCCGAAGCAAGGAATGATGACAATTGCGTGTTATATCCTCTGGAAATGCAACAAACATCTCTTTGAATAGTGCCTCCTGAACAGAACTGTGCGAAAACACGAACGCATTATTTATTTTGTCATGTTTTGTTAAGAAACCTTTATATGAATAAATGCTCTTTTGAAATTGGCCAAATGATGAACGCCCTAAATCAAGCATTCCTAAAGCAACAATTTTAGCTTCCCGATCCTTTGGATTTTCTAAGATCGCCGCTTCCACTTGACCACCTTTCAGTAATATGTATATAAGTACAGCAGTTTTAGCATGTTTTTCTTTTATCTGGGTGTCAATGTAGTCTTTAAGATACAGATGAGGATCATTAAAAAAAGTTAAAATATTTTTTCCAAACTCTGGATTTTCACGTGCTAAGCTACAACACTGAGGAAATCCCAGTGTTCGATATAATTCAGAGGGTTTTTCTTTCATATCTTCATCCTTGCCTTCTGCAGTTAAACCATATTTTTTGAGAAACATTTCTATTTCGTTCGTTTGTAAAGCATATTCACCACTTGATAAATCGGTCACAGAGGTACAGAAGAAGGGATTGGACTTTTGTTTCTCGACCACTTCCATGTAAATATCATTCCTGATTGTCAAAAGTAAAACATTTCCCGATCTGTTCTCGCAAGATTTTAAAACAGATTCGATTAATTCTTTTTTATTGATAAATTCGTTGAACTCAGTACTTGAAAACGAGAATTCACCAAACAGATTGTCTATGAAGACTGCAATGTTATCATCTGCTGTCACTCTGCCATAAAGTTTAGAGACCTTAAAGAGCTGAAGTGGGCGTTTTCCATTATCCATTAATATCTTTAATAACCATTTAGCAAGTGTTGTTTTCCCCGAGCCAGGGTTACCCTTTATGATAACATAACTATTCTCCTCTAATAGTTGTTTTGCTCTCTCTAAAGCTCTTATTTCAACAAATGTATTTGTCATGTCCTGTTCATGTCTTTCAATCATAATTCTGCTGGAATCTAATCAAATAAAGAAAACGGAAGATTAAGGAAAATATTACAAAACTTATACATGTTTTGTTAAATTTTATGAAAACATAAATAAAATTCCAAGCCAATATAGTTTTCAAAAATTATAACATGATAGCATATCATTCTTGTTTAGTCGCCTGTGTGGCGAAGTGGTAAGAGCATCTGCTATTGAGTTGCGAAGTAAGAAGTTGATCCTTACGTCACGGGTTCGAATCCCACCGTTGGACAAGGAAACTTGTCCTTCGGATTAGACAGTATTAACCGACATCACGTGTCACAGAAACTGTTGTACTACCCCCCTTAAAACCCAGAGCCTTGTCCCAACAGAAGATTTTACACTGTGATCATCATAACTATGCACTTTACCTTCTTAAACAGATCACACTTAAAGAAACAACCAATTCTACTATATTATCAAAAGAACCCTACATTAACAAAAGAACCTTTTACCGGGGGCCATGAAATTCACTATATTGGAAGAGGCATCCTTGATCGTGTTAGACTTGCGCTTAGATTGATTGCTAAATATGACCCAGGAGAGAAAAATTAAAACTTCAAAAGATAGCATGTTTACCAGTTCTGTGTTTGAGATATTTGAGATTTTTTTTGTCATTTACATGTATATAGTAAAAACGGCCGAGACCTCGGTTTCACTTTGACAATTAAGCCGTGTTCGAGAAAGTGAAGTATACATACAGGTTGATAATAAGTATACATACCAATTTCTTTTTCAAGTTTTGGATCTGAAAGAGAAAAAGGGTCAAAATAAAATTTCAATCTGATTTGAGTGCTCTGAGTTACCAGTGTTGATGTGTACATTTTTAATTTTAAAATATTTTTATTACTGTAAATTGTAATCAGATTCCTTCAGTATAAAATGCAGTCAATATATGAGATTAAACACAAGGCATTTTTAGGTTTTTCAATAATATTCATTAATGTTTATTTATTCTTTTTTATTTTTCCAAATTTACTTTAAATATTTGTAAATTGATTATACGCCTAATAAGTTTGTTAGCAAAATTTATATATGAAAAAAATGGTTGGGCAATCTTCTTGAAACAAATTATATTTTTCCTAAGATGATCGCTGGTTATGATTAGTTTGCAGTGATAACTTTCAGTTTCAAAATAATATTTTTGTCATTTATGTGCAAAAATGTTTAAATTTGTTATTTCTCTGGTCATCAATAATCGATTGTATGCCATGGATAGGAAAAAGTGAAATTCTTCAAATTCGATTTCCCCACAGTCAATCAATAAAGAGGATATGGTAAAAATACAGACACATTGGGGTTGCACAATTTCACTAATATTTGTCAATAAATTATTTTTATTATAAATTGACTTGTCTCCCCGAACAAAGTTGGGCGATTTATTGCTACTGTACGCCTAAACAGTTTGTTTGCCGTGTGCTCGTTGTCATAATCAGGAAATAACGGAAAAAATCCGTGGTCAAAATTTATAAATAATGATAACAATTGGTTTTGCAGTCAGCATTTCATTCAATGATAAATTGTATTTGCTACAAGGTTGCCATTGGAACGTGCAAAAATTTACGACTTTTTTAAACGATGAGTGTTCTCTTTCATCAACTTGCTTTCATCATAAACTTTGTAATATAAATGAAATTGTTTATACGTTATTGCATGCTCTTGTTCGTCTCGCAAATAATCGATTGTTGCCATGGAAGCAGGAAAAAGTGAAATTCTTCAAATTCGATTTCCCCAATAACTACTAAAGCAATCGTTTTGAAACTTTAAATAATAATTTCTTGTAATGTGTCAAAGTGATTTCTTTTTTTAAAATAATAGTAATTAGTCGCTAACATTTGCCATAGAAACGAACAAGAAAAACAGGTTAATAAGTGCGCATGTGTTCTCCAAGGTCTAGGTCAAAGGGTAAAAGTTTTTGGTATCAAAAGTCTTGTCACAAGGGATACACATATGAGATATGAAAGTCATAGCTCCACTGAATCAAATATAATGGTCAAGGTAAATATTTGTGACAATCGGACAGACTTGTAGATGAATGAGTTCCATTGTCCCCTCACTCTCGTGAAATCGAGGGACAATAAAACCAGTTCGGGGCGACATACGCTATTGCTTGCAATAGCAGACTCCCTAGTTGATTAATGCTGTTGCTATATGTAATATATAAAGACTTTTAACCATGGACCATTAAGGACATTATATGGACAGTGAGTTTAAATAATTTCATGTCTTATTGCCAAAGAAATAATGTCATAAATGAATTTTCACAATACTCACCTCGAAGCTTTGTAAGATTTTCTTTAATATTCTTCATGCTGTCTAAAATAATAATAAAGTATGATAACACCAATGGATAGGCCATTCGTTGAAAGTACATTTTAGATTAGATAAATATCCCATTTTGACAATATTCAGAGATTGTAGATTTTTTAATGATTTATTAATTTTACCTTTTGCAGGCAATCTTATTAATCTTTACAACACTAAATGATATTTTGGTAAAATATTAATGAAAAACATGAAATCCATCCTGTGATTTTATATATATCATCTATAAAAACATGAACAAATTTTATGATATTTAAGAATAAAATTATTTGCATCAAGTCTTCAAGAAAATCAAATGTTTTCTTCTTATTTAATTATTTATGTGTACTGTGTACCTGAAAAATTCGAGATTGTAGAATATAACTCGTCGACTTTATCCAGTTTCTCAATGTACTTCTGTTCTGTTTCAGGGTCCATTGAGCAAATTTTGATATCCGTCACTGAATCCTGATAAAATGTAGAACTCCCAAGATCTCTCTCCAATTCTACAACGATATCCCGGATGTTCCGCCATTCCTGTTTAAATTCTGAGTCGGAAAGAGATATATCGGCAGAATGGCCGTAGTATTTGTTCCGAAGAAATCGAACCCTTTCGATGTTGGCAGCAACACTTCTGTCAGCGGGATCTGGATTCTCGCCCCAACCCTTAGAATGTTGAGGTATTTTACCGACATTTCGAAGAATGGTGTACAAGATAGATATGTCCAGATCTGAGTAGTCTCCCCCATACTGGTTTGTCGGTGAGGGGAAAACAATGTCATTTTGTGATGGATTCAGAGGGTTGCGTTTTTTGTTTTTCTTAAGATCATCAATCCATTGCTTCACTTCTTTAGATAAATCAGACGGGGGAATTTCCTTTTTTAGAATTTCACGTAACACATCAGTACAGGGACCCAGTATGAGTCTCGCCAGCCGAGCAGTGTTTGTGGTCTCCGGTGTTGATGTGTATTTTGATAAAGACATGGCTCTGTCTTTTTGTTTTTGTTACATAACGTGTGATCTTTGATCTACAACATAAACCAATATTTTGTCAGTAAATCTTACCGTCCTATTATAAGTATTGTTTTAAAACATTGATCTACTTTTCATATATGTATGTGCGGTTTCGATCAATCGCAATTCTGAGAGTTGATTTTGAATACAAACAATGTCAGTGGTTTAGGAAAATATATATATTTTTATGACCTTTCTTTGGGTACCATTAAATTTGACCTCTTGACCTTGACCTTGGAGTTTGAATAACTTTTGAACAGATCGAGATAGAGACTTCATATTTAAAATGCATACTCCACTAAATAAGCACTTTCAACTGACACCAAGGACAATGACCTTTTGACCTTGACTGTGGCCTATATGCTAAAAATAGATTTTTCGAACTTTCGGTAGAACTTTTGAATCAAAGGAGATAGAGACTTTATATTTGGTATGCCTACTTCACTAATTAAGTGCTTTCAAACGACAATGACCTTGTGACTTTGACTGTAACCTTTATGCTAATAATAGCTTTTTAGAACTTTGTTGCCGACGGGGGCACAGTGTTTCACCAACACATCTTTTTAAAACTGAATTCATAAACTTCAGAAAAGGTAAATTTTGATGCAGTTGCACTGGGATCAAAACTAGTTTTTAAAACCCACTTTAAGTCCATATATTTGCTATATATGCAAATTTATTTAACGAGGGCGAATTTATTTTTTTTTACTACCCTAGATATTTTGATGATTTTTTCGTAAAAAATAATTTAATGTCATATTTAGTGTTTTAAGAACGAAAAAGCGAATGTTTACCATTTACCATTCCCTATTTCTCTGGGGGTAAAAGTTTCAAAATTTTTATATTGGACCCTTCATGAAATTTTTGGAAAAGCGCCACATTCTTTTTTCCCTTATTTTTGTATTTCTGTTCCAGGGATTTTTTTCCTTATGGTAGATGACACCAAATTGTGATATTTTAAAAAAGTTCACCATCTAGGTTGGCCTGGGCATTATTTGCAAAGTTTTTTTTACAATACCCAATTTTTCTAAAATTACCATATTGCGGTATACTACATACACTTGCAGATGAATTTTCGGCACAGGTGACTTTTTCTTCGAAAACATAGCAATGTTTAGATTCCTAGTATGTTTCTTTAAACGTTCTTACTACAGCTTTTAGTTTAATATCAATGGACGTCTGGCACGTAGCATCGTTTTCAAAAGTGCAGGGGGGGGGGGGGCAAAGATATTATTTACCTGAAAAAGATTGACAAGCAGAAACAAAAATCTTATACTACATTTTTGGTACATCACTAAAAGTGTGTGTGTGTGGGGGTGGGTGGGTAAAACAAGACTTTCAAATATCATTTCCTATAGTATAAGTAAGGTTGGGTAAAAGGTGGGGGCAGCCCCTTGCCCCCCCCCAACCCCCCCCCCCCTCCCCCTGTTGCTACGTTCCTGGACGTCTTGAACATACAAACGATTAATACGTCACTTTTAGCGTCACAAATTACTTCTAAAATCTTAAAACAATAACGTTGTTAATCTCATTTCAGCTTTTATTCTTAATTATTAATGTGAAGTGTTACTATTTTACTCATCGCCCGTTATGCAAATTATCCCATGTTTCCCACTATTGTTGATGACCTGGCATACTCTCAAAACTAATGTGAAGTGTTACTATTTTACTCATCGCCCGTTATGCAAATTATCCCATGTTTCCCACTATTGTTGATGACCTGGCATACTCTCAAAACTAGACAGTGATTCCTTAAATTTTCAAGTTTACCATTACATTTAAAGAAAACGTGTTTTTTTATTAGTAAGTTTCTCTATCGTTATATGAAATGTCATGGACGCTAATAAACAAAAATACAAACCTTCAATTGAAAGCTAAGGGTAACATGAATTTTTCGATACTCGCTGTTAAGCCATCCAGAATATTAAAATATTCGTTTCAGGTGTATAAACCTATCATTCGGTAAAGAATAAACCGATTGAATGATTTTTGAATAGATTGTACAAACTCTTTTGCACAAACATATATTTTGCCAGACTGGAGCGTTTAACAAGTGGCCATTTTTAAATGTCATTTGAAAAGGGTGCTTATCAATCGCACATTTAATAATCTCAACAGTTTGAAATTGATTTTAAAAACTGCTTATAATTAAAAGGAAAAATACAAAGTGAAATATTGATCAAACATTATAAAAACCCCAAATATTTTGGTAAGACAAACAAACAAGAGAAAATGCTTCATATTTTCATATTTTGACAATTGTGGAATATACTAAGTGTAAAAAGAAACATACATAAAAGACTATTGAACTGAGTTATCGCTCATTTTACGAAAAACATCCTTCTTGTTGATACTCTAATAAAACCCATAAACGGAGGGTAATCGTTTTAAAATGCAGACTTGTAAGATTGTAAATCCGAACATGGAGTTGTATCAACTTCATAGTCTTGATATCTTGTCTGTAATTAATATTTATTTTTTGCAACGCATATATCTATATTTAAGTTAGAATACTTTGTAAATAATTTGTCGGCAATGAGGGGGATACCATATTTTATAGCACTGAAGAATGAGGTAAATCGAGATAACGAACAACACTGAATATCGAAGTTCATAAAACTTACAAAATAGGGACAGAGCAAACACGGACCTCCGAAACATCAGAGGTTAAATAAAGTTCCAAAGAAGAGTGAGTATTTTCTGCCGACCGGTCACATCCACATGTGCCCCTTGTCATGATTGGGAAAGAACGGAAAAATCCGTCGTCAATTCAGTTATAGATAATAGACTAACAATTAGTATAAAAACGTCCATCAATGATAAATTGTGTTTGCTGAAAAGGTCATTGTATCTACCAAAGAACTTAAGAAATGATGACCTTAAACAAAACTGCTGATATTCATGTTTCATTATCTTGTTCGTCAATAATTAACATCGTTTAAGAAGTTGTTCATAAGTAGAGCATGCTCTTGCGTATCAAATCAACTGAAATATATTTTTTCCGTAAACAGGCGATGAATATATTTTGCTGCATAAGTAAGGAAAGTTGAGGAGAGAAAAGTTAAGGAAAGGATTGCAACGGTCCGTGTAAAAATTCCGCCCGATGAATTTTTCTCATTTTTACATATAATGTGCCTTATGTCAATGATACCATAATATCAAAGTATCAACCATGGTTTTCGGGATTATAAAGAAGTTATGGTTGCCATGGTAACCACCATTTTCTAATTTTTTTTTATATTTATGAGGTGAATGTTTTATTATGCCATACGCGCAACAAAATTGAAATAAATTTAATAATTTCCTGCAGATATTTGATAATAAGCTTTATATTTATTGAAAATAAAAATTGTTTCGGTAACTGTTGATAGATGTAGTAATGCCATTGTTTTTTGGGGAAGTATTAATTGTAAATTTGCAGTAATATTTTCACCCTGACAGCAGTTTTTAACGTCTAGACAGAAAATTACCCAATTAATATTCCCAACACTAATATATGCTGTACTAGTCATTATAAGTGACTTATGGTTAAAATATGAAGTAAGGTTATCGGATTCATTTTAAAGCTACGCGCATTTTCAGTACCCCCCTCCTACAATATTAAAAGATTTCACAGATTTACATATGAGGGTTTGTTGTTGGACCGTATATTATATATACATAATATGTTTTAAAACCATAACGGCCATATGTATAGATAAATAAATACTTTTTCTCTGAAAATCTTGCAGCTGATGTTCATTTTCATTTTATATGTGAAGCGT